ACTGATTACAAGCTCGTAGACACCTGTGAATAGGGTGAACAGATGTCCTGATTTGTGTGGAACCGTCCTGCATTTTTGGATGATAAAGGACATTTATTATTAAAACTCACTGAATTTCCCAGAATCAGATCAGTTTCTGCAAACCAGAGTGGTCAAACATTTCTCCAATGTGATTTAACTGCTTTCTGCAAGTTATCAAAAGCATCAGGCTTTTTCTATGAAAGGCAGCCAGTTGGGTTTAGGGTTTAGAGGGCAATTACTTTTTTCAAATGGGGTCTAGTTGGTTTATATAACTGTCTTCATGACTGACTTTTGTATTTACTCAGGTTATTTTTGGCTGATATTAAAATACAGAAGCAGAAGAAATCTTTTTCTCAGCAACTTGTGTGAATGACTATTTGTGACTGCAGATGAGATAAGCTCTTTCATATGATTTTTTTAAACCATGGGTATGATTGCACCTCATAAATCTTGTAATACTGTTTTTTTATACTCATTGGCAGATGATTTTTTAAAGCCTAGATTTATTTTAATCCTTATTTCAGAAGTCTTACCTTCCGGTTACTAATGATATGATGTAACTCTCTTACAGGAAGAAGAATAAATGCAAGACACCTGCCTTATGTCACTCAGCTGGAGAGAACATTTGTCCTATCTGCTTCCAGCTGACTCATTGCTAAAACTGAGACATTTTGATCCTTTTGGAAAGGATTGCATTATCCCTGGTCTGAAAATATCCCTCCACTACAACAAACACAGGCTAATTTGCTAAATAAGGAGCCATCCAATCAAATCCCTCCCCCAGGTGTTGGCGTTTCCTGGTGAGCTTTTGTGCACTGCCTGTGCAGCGGTTTTGTGTGCTCCCACAGTGAGCTACTGAGGCGACGGTTATTCTGAGCTCATCTCTGTCCTCACACATTGTGACCAGTGGCTTCCTGTTGCCTCACATCCCGTCCTTTGGACACATATGCCTGCGGGCTCATCGGGGGACTTCACAGTGAACAGCAGGAGAGGTCACCATGTTCCCCTTTGTTTTCCTGCCCTCCCTCACTGGCCTTCTCGCCTACACACACACACACACACACACACACACACACACACACACACACACACACACACACACACACACACACACACACACACACACACACACACACACACAAGTTTGTATTTCTACCCAAATTAGATCTTGACTGTCTTTCACTTTAGGGACTGGAACTATACATAATCCTTACATTTACCTAAATATCTAAACCAAGTGCCTATCATTAAAAATGGTGCTATGCCACATTAAAACCAAAATTAAAGTCAAAAGTTTAAGTCATTATACCAGAAAAGTACCTAAATAAGGAACACGAACAAGTAAATTCACACACATCCACACAATGACTCTATGTTAGCAGACTTATAAAAAAGGGATGGATCTGTCAGACTGTTGATCTCCTGACTCTTACATCACAGAGAGGTCGACTCCTGTTGTATGCTATAAAATGACTGTATTATATTTGGGGATCAAATTTCTTACATTTGATCCCATTCCACTTTAGATAAACTTTAGTGAAAGTATATTTATATTTATTTATATATATATATATATATATATATATATATATATATATATATATATATATATTTATATATATATTTTATTTTTTATTTTTTCATCTATTTAAATATTCCTTTCATCTATTGTCTAGGTTTCCACTTATACTTGCTGGGTCACGGAGGTGTTATGTAACAAAGTACAAATACTTCGAAACCTTACTTAAAGGTATTGTGGATTTTCTCAATTTTTTTAAAAGACCCCCCCAAAAAAATGCACATGCACAACACTGTACCCGCTCCTGAGAGGAAATACGCCCAAGAGCATGCATGAGTCCATTTCAGCTCATACACGCTCTATTTAACAGTTGCTGTTCTTATAGCTCATACAACCTTACTGTGTCTGAACATCAACTCTAACCCCGAAATCCCACAATCTTTATATAGAGCAGGGACTATATAGTGGATTTTATAGTGAACTCAGCTAACTTGCTGTTTGGACGGATGATCATTACTTTTTGCTCCCTGTTGGTCACGTGACTACTCCTTCACCATCTTTCTTATTAGTTTGCAAAATAGTCGCCGCTGTTGGCTATTTTGCAAAGGATTATGGAAATCCCATAATGCTTTGCGAGGAGAGCTCTCTGCGTGGAGCATTTAGGGTTTCTGCCTCATCTGAGGCCATTCTTCTCATACACTTAGTCGACACTTTTTCTGTTATGACCCTCTGCCATTTTCAAAGAACCACGGTGAGAAAGGTGAGCTTCAATGACTGTCTGAAACTGTAGCTCACCACAAATATACGCCTGAAAGTGCGCATGTGCAGAAAAAGATAGCTATTTTGATGATCCACCTGGAAATAAAAGATTGTCCACTATAACTTTAAGGAGAAATTTTGTCTATCTATTGATTAATTAACTAACTTAATTAATTCCTGGATACTAAAATAAACCATTTTTCAAGATGATGCAAAGTTAAAATTGACACAGATACAATGAAAACAAAGAAAATTAAGTATAAGGAGGTTATCATCTCGAAAATGTTCCTTTAATAGGGTAGCACAATAACCAGAATGGGGTTTTAAGCATCTGTCCTTAACATTTTCCCCTCCATTTCTTTTATTTTTATACTTGAAGTAGTTTTTAAAATGTTACTTTTACACTTACTTGAGTAAAAAGCTTAAATTGATACTCTAACTTCAACAAACGTTTTTTTTTACTTTTTTTTTAAACTGTAGGATTTATACTTCTACATTAATACTTTTGACACCTCTGCTGTGTCACATGAGGGAGGGTTGGTGTCTAGCTCCATAAAAGGTGATGCACACCCTGAACAAGTCGCTGATCCATCAGAGCAACACAGAGACACCCAGTACAAACAAATAGGGAAATTTAAGATCAACTACAAATCAGAAGCTTGAAGACAGAAAGAATATAGACTTGGAACTGAAACCAGGACCTTCTGGTTATAGAGTAACAGTGATAAAAAAAATAAAAAACGCACCACTATACAGCCCTGAGAAAATGAAATGTACCTACTAATGAGTGAATCAGGATTTTAAATGACGTCATCCTGTTTGAAATAACAAACAAGCCTTTGCAGTTATGTGGGAGCATTTATCGTTATTAGGGGTGTAAATAATAATTGTTTTGTATCGATGCATCGATTCAACAGCCGACGATCCGATGCATCGACATGTCTGCAAGAGTATCGATACATGTTTTGTTTTTTTTCCTCCGGTCTATTTTTATCCATTTGCTCCTGGACGTTATTCTGACTCCTGTGCTGCGGTGGCGCTTAATGTATTTTGCCCTCCTACCTCGCTTCCTTTAGCCACTACCCTCTTTCCACATGCACACACAGTCGCGTAAACAGTAGGCAAGACAGACATGGCGGAGGAAAAAGAAGATGATGTATTCTTGAATATTGAGAATAATAGAATCGTCGGGTCAGGAAATCGATACTGAATCGAATCGCCATGATGGATTTGATTTACACCCTTAATCTTTTTCCTGATAATTTGTCATCACGAGTTTTGAAGCAAAAAATTAGAATTATAAATTATAAACCTCCCAAAAATGGGTGAATTGTCTGAATGTTTTACTTCTAATTCGTTCTTGTTTTTGGAGCATTTTTGAATGTTCAAAGAATATTATTAGATATGGCGGCTGTGCGATGTTTATAAATTATTTATTATAGTAATAAAATAATGCTTCTTTATGTTACTGGTGTCCTGCAGAAGCCTACTTTAAATTTTAAATGTTATTTAACAGCAGTATCTGTGATTGTGGGGCTATGATTGCTATGGCATGCAGCCACAACCATACAGTGACGTAAAAAAGACTGTAAAGAAGTAAGGAGGTTTATTTTCAACCTTACTTTTATGGTTGTCATGATGGTAATACTGAACAGGGTGATAAGATTTTAAGTCAATATCGCTCAGCAACTTATCAAACACGTTTCAGTTGACTTTCCATTTGGATCCATTGCTTCTTTTTATTTGGATTAACTCCTGACACTGTGCTGTCTTAAGTTTAAAAAAGATTTTGCAGTTTTTTTAACATTACTGGCAAGACGCAGAATACTATTGTGTTGGAAATCCTCTCTGCTGTATGACACTTGGATCAGAGAAGTTCTTCATTTCAGTAGGCTTGAAAAAATTAAGTTTACCTTACGGGGGTCTATGAGAACGTTTTTAAAGATATGGCAACCCCTTTTTTTATTATATTTGGAGTGTCGTAATATTCCTTCCTAAGCTGGCTAGAATTTGTAATGTATGTATTTATTTATTAATTTTTGCCATCAATATAATTTCTTCTATCGTTATATTTATAACAGTTTTTTTTACCCACAAGTATAGTAATTCATAATATTGGAGACCTGGTTTTGTTTAGTTTGTTTAGACGCTACCACCAACAATCCCTCATTCTGGGGTTCTTACTATATGGTAAGGGTTAATGAGCTGCACATGGCGCACTGCACAAAATATGTCCCACCAAATACCAGACTTCATTTACACGTTTATGTTTTGTTCGTTTTTAGGTTAAATCTGGTCGGTCGGTCATAGTCTTGATTTAGTCCAGAAATAGTTATTGAAAATTGGGCTGTTTTGGTAAGTCTGATTTTTTCCCACTTTAGTCCAATAATAGACGTTGAAAAGAAAAATTACAGCGTTTCACCTTTCACTTTGCAACCAAATATTGAGATTGTTTGGACATAAATCATGTCGTCTTCTCAATGTCTTTTCACCACTTTTAGCTCAGGGGGGTCCATCAAATAAGCTTTTTAAATACCTAATACTTTATTTTTGTTTATAAATCAGAGAAACATGATTTTTTAAAACATTTTAGTCACCAATTTAGTGTTTTTTAGTTATTTAAGTCCTCTGCAGCTTATCATGTCCCAGTCAGGACACGGCTAATGCTTTTTTAATGTTTCCTCTTGGTGTCGCCACTTACCTGATAAAGTAGCAGCAGAAGATGAGGCTCAAGATGAAGACAAAGATGCCTGTCCCAAAGATCACCATGTAGATGTTGAGGGGAAGGTCCTGGAAGGTGATTGGCGGCATGGTGCACGACTTGTTCGAGTAAACCAGTCCCAGACCACAGAAGCAGCCTAAACAAGACAAAGGGAGCAGTTGCAGAAATAGTTCCTCATAAGCAAAAGCTTCCGAAATAACAAAGAAAATTCTTAAAAACATCTAAATGCAAATCTCCAAGGCAAACTTTGTTGTTCCAAATGCTTCTAAGCCTGCAAAAACATCCCAGATGTGAGGTTTGATATAGCAACACATCAATGATCCAGATTCAAACTAGTAAAAGTCTAATCAATATTCATGAATCCAACAAGCCTATCTTGAAAAAATCCGGGAAAGGAATCATCCCTCTTTGTTTTTGGCAGTGTCTGACAGTGGAGCAGTACATGTCTGACTGCAATATCTCAATCAATGTTTAGCAAGGGGTTTATGGCCTGTTTTAGCAGCTGAACTCAGCTCATATAATACATTTTAGACAGACCAATAGTCCAATTTTGTGTGTACAGTCAGGAGATGTCCCATTTGTAACCCGACATGGCTGTGCCCAGGTGCACAAAGCAAGGTTTAAGAAATATGGATGGGCAAGTTTGGTGTGGAAGAACTTGATTAACCACTAACCAACAAATATTGGGACAAATCAGTGCAGGAACGGTGAACCAGGCCCTCTCCTCCAACACCACTGTCTGAACATACAGACATGTTTCCGAGAGAAAGGTTAGCTATTGAATGTATATCTAAACATCCGGCAGAACTCTCTAAGACACTGTGCTGGGTTGGTTCTGGATTTGCTGCCTTTTTGCTATTTCTATTCGCTTTAGCCCTGACATGACTTCAATTCAATTCAGTTTCAATGTAATTCAGTTTATTTCTATAGCGCCAATTCATGACACATGTAATCTCAAGGCACTTTACAGTTCACCAGATCATACAGTCAAATTGATTCAAAGTTTTCTATCTAAGGAAAACCAGTTGATTGCATCGACTCATTGACTCAAAAGCAATCCCTCACACTAAGAATGCTTGTAGCAACAGTGGAGAGGAAAAACTCCCTTTTAACAGGAAGAAACCTCCAGCAGAACCAGGCTCAGTGTGAGCGGCCATCTGCTGAGGCCGACTGGGGTTCATAGAGACAGAAGCAGAGATACAAAAAGCAGCTTTAAAAGACTTCAATAGTTCTTTTATTTTTTCACCTGTCTAATTCATTTAAGCACATCTGCAAAATATGCTGACATTGTAATGTACTGGCGCTCAGCTGAAAATTAATAAAAGCAAGATGACCAACATATCACACACAAGTGTTCTTGTCTTACTGTATGTAGAGAGGAGAGTTTGTTGACACTCTTTAAATCCCCTACCCCAGCAGTATGTAAATGTCAGTCCTCCAGTGTCCCTCTCCTGCAGCTTTTGCATGCATCCCTGCTACAAAGCATCTGAAAGAAATGAAGCTAAATTGCCTCCTTGGAATAGCACTCAGTTTAGCATGGGTCTGGCCAATAATTATTCATTTGTTTCTGGCGTGTTAGAGCAGGGATGCATAGAAAAGCTGCAGGATAGTGGCACTGAACCCCTGACCCTCTGATAATAGCCCTAATACTAACCATTACCATAATCTTTACTTAGACTCAGTTCACACCTTAGACCTAACCCTAACTGTTAGCAAAAAAAAAGAAAAGAGAAAGAGGACAAGCAAAATCTTTTCAGTTTGTTAAAAAAAAGTCCTCACTCTGATGCCAAAACAGAAGGACACACCCACAAAATTACCCACCAAAATACATGAATGGATAAGTCCAATGGGTATGAGTATTTTTGCACATTGTATTTAACAAGTAGGTCACATCAAACACAGAGCAACCTTGAGTTTTCATATAAGAACGGGGAGAACAAACAAATGTAGAGAAACAGCAGTGATGTCTGAGACAGAGAAGCGCAGAAGTCGGTATCTGCATGAAGCTGAGATTAGGTCAAGTTAATACAGTGAGTGATAATGAATCAGAGGCCGCAGAAACAAGCTTCTTTTGATTAGAACAGGGTTGAAGAAATAAAGCTGAGAAACTTTGACAACTTTTCATCAGGGCATGAAGCACCTAATGTGTCTAATTAACTCGCCTTGGCTGAAAGAAAAGGTAGTAATCACTGAACCAAGTCTGCATGTTGTCTGATAAGAGATCTGTGGCTCTAGGTCCTTAAACCAACATGAGAACAAACTGTATTATAAGATCCATTCTTAGAGGTCCCTCCAGTCCACAGTTACAGCTTTATATAATGATTCTTTACAATGACAAATGGTTCTTTCTATGTCAGAACTGTTGCAGTCTAATTTCCCTCAAGAGTTATTAAATTTTTATGTAACTCGGTTTAATAAAGACTTTTCCCTGAAAGAAAAAAAACTGTCAATTGCTTCTTGTCTGAAGTGCAAAGTGGGTGTGGATCCTATATCTGTCTTTAGTAATTACTCCTCACACAGGACTGGGTGAAGGATGGATGAGAAGGCAAGGCATCAGGAAGGATGGATAATGGAAAATAAAGACACTCAGATAGATAGATGGAAGCGTTGCTAGGTGTGATTTACCATAAATTAAACTTAAAGAGATATCATATTAGTTTTTATTTTTAATCCTTAAAATAGCCTGATTGACAGCTCAGTAGTTTGGCGCTGATGCATCTATAACTGTGTTGCCAATTTTCCTGAATTTCAAGCTTCAGGCCGGAGCTTCCCGCGCAGTTCGGCGGATGTGTCGTCAATCGTGTACTTTCTGTTTGCTGCACCGAGGTCCTTCTCCCTCAATGTAAGGTCACAAAAGTTTTTTTTTTAAAACTTGTTAAATATGAGCACGAGTTTCGAGAGCGAGCAGAAGAGTGGTGCAATTATGTGTTTTGAAGAAAGGAATCGTCTAATGACAGGCTGAAGTGTCATTAGAAAAATCTGTAATGGCTCTTGAGGAAAAGAGCAGTGAATAATGAGGAAAAATAAGATACACAACTTAGGGTTGTCACGATACTAAACTTTTCAACTCGATACCGATACTAAGGAAAATATTCGATACTCAATACCATTTTCGATACCACTAGGATAAAATTTCCAAATTTCAACAGAAATATTTTGATTAATAATTAGAATACAATAAATAAATCAATACAATAAACAATAAGAACAACATTTTGAGGTTGTTTGCTGTGCACAGTATTTAACAAGTTTGATAAAAAACTTACAAAATTAAAATTAAGTTTTCCTTCCTTGGCTATGCTTTGCACACATAACAATGACACTCGCCAAACCGGTTAAGAAACAAAAATAATTCTCAGCAGCTGCAACTGTTACAAAAAAAGTCTGAAACTGAAAAGTGCACAGAATTATTCAATCACAGTGTTCAGAAAGTGCATTTTCCTCTATTCCGCACTTTAGATGAATGACTGTTTAGGTGCGACTGGTACTCGATACTTTTGAAAATGAGTATTGTATCCGGATACAACATTTCAGTATCGATACTTTTTTGAGTATCGATACTCTCAGCTCTATAATTCAATTAGAGCTGAGGGAAAGAACCAACCGGGACCAGGACTGAACAATATCACTTGCAATCTGAAAATTTTGATGATTATTGAAATGATAACATGAATCTCCAGAGAGAGGGTTGATTACAAACACAGACACCCAATATTTCAATTCAGCAATATAGATCAGTGTTGATTCCAGGCAAATCTCTCGGTAAAAATAATTTTGCAAATAGGCAAGTATTTTTATGTTTTAAAATACAGAGAGCCGACATTTCCTCACTGCATATAGATGCAATTATTTCCATATAATGATCCATTTTATATTTTTCCTCACTGGATGCAGGTTTCAGTGCCATTTATAAATTGCCATGTGTCTTTATTATATGTGTTAAATGTATCTAAAACAACAGCAAACCTTAGAATAATGTGGAACAACAGTAAACAAAGGCACAGATGGGCTGTATGAACAGACTGAGATGAGCGGATGGATGAGCTGAAAGTACCGATGATGGTTATTGGATTGATGATGGATGAATGGATGATTAAAAGGCTGGCAGGATGTACAGCGTGAGGGATGAAAAACAAGTCGGTGATTACTTAAATGGAGAAACTGTTGCAGGAAAAGAAGAGAATGGTGGGCATTCATATGGGATGAGTTCTGACAGATGGAGAGAGAAGGATCAAACAGCTGGATGGAGAGACAAACACATGGAGGTAAGAATTAACATTGCACAAACAGGCAGGCAGATGAAGACCGTCAAAGCTGTCATTACACTGTCATGGCTTTTGTTTGTTTTTTTTTTATCTTGGTATATCTTGTCGGTCCTGTTGACAAACTGACATGCTGACATTTCTGTCTGACTCTTCTCCAGTCTGAGCATAAGATCGATCTTTTCTCTTCCTCTCCTCCAGTTTGAAGCAGCAGAGAATCCCCCATTAAGGAAGTTCAGGTTCAAACCACTTTGCTCAGATAGAGGCATACAGAGACATCAAAAGCAGGAGTCGGGTCTTTAATCAGCACCAAAGATGAAACCCAGCTCAGAATCAACACTCAATCTAATTTGCTAGTATAACAGTTAAAAAATAAAACTATATATCTGATAAAAATGCTCTTATTATTTTATATAAACCTTTTTCACCAATTGAGTGAATTGGAATTGGAGTTGACTAAATGACTGCAACGTGTCTAAGGTGGCGGCTGCAAAAAAAGCCCAACTTACTCCAAGAAAGAGGGAGATTTTGCTAATAAAGCCTGCTTCTGAAAACATAAAGTAAATAAAGTATCTACCTCCATATGACAAGCAGCATTTCGTATTGCTTCAAATAGATTAGTACAATGAATACTGGCTAAAACTGGGCCATCTTGCAGCTTTAGAACAGTGCAGTGAAAAAGAAATTAACTTGGTACAAGCCAAAAAGTTGATTTTATTGAAATGCTATAATTTTTTAGGTACTAATAATCTTTATTTTGAAATAGTTTGTACTCCAATGTGTCCTTTCCCATTACACAGCATCCTCAGATGAGGATAAATCAATCACAGTTTTCTCCAAAGCTTCAGCTCCACTTTCTTATCCCAAACAAGGTAGACTGTTTGACTGCAGATGCTTTATTATAAAATATCAGCTGCATTAGATCAGAATATCACTGAGGTTATGACCTCAGCATCCAAACCCAAGCTGGACACTCATTAGGATGGGAAAATGCAAACTACCAGATATGCTGACCTCATTTACTCCACCAGCCAGACGATCGAAAGAAAGACGCCCTAAGAGGAATGGAGGACATTTTTGCTTCTGTATTCATCTAACTGCACAGATGAGACTGCAAATCATCTCTGAAGCTGTTGTCTACCAAATGTAGGTCATATTAAAAGAAGCTTTAATGTAGCTCCATCACATAACAACTAATGTGCAGGCAGACAATCTCTCCCGGTGTTCTACCTTTTCATGTGTGGAAATCAGACAGCTATTTGTAATATTTTGATTTGGGTGGAGCCTTGCATGATCACTGACCTATATAACGGCTCTCTCATGAGGCGGATCGTTGCCATGGCGGCAGGAGTAGCAAATGCAGAGTGAGGACGAAGGCTCTCGCGAGGGGAAGTTCTCATTTTGAGGACAAAGAAGAGCCGTGTGAGACAGATTCCTTGGCTGTCGTTAAAAAAAAAAAAAAAAAAAGGAAAAAAAGGGACAGGGGAGCCCCTATGTGATCCAGCGGAGCGGTGAAACACCTCGTTGGAGGATGTTTCCCTGAGACGGGATGCCAGTGGGGGTTTGTCCTACATACAAAGATTTCACACAAAGCTGCATCTGCGGCTGCCTGAGCTGAAGACAGAACTCCACATCAAATATTCAGCATTTTATACGAAGGGGAAAAATCTCCAGCCAGTCTGTGGTGGTCTCAAAGATTTAGCAGGATTTCATTTTCAAATGCATTGAAAGGATTACATCTGTGATGAATAATAATAAAAAAAATTGATAGTCAATAACATGCTAAGGAATGGGGAGTTCACAGCTACTAATGTATTGTAAGTATCAAATAAATAAAGGTTCAGCACTGCTAAACGCACTGTTTAAAATTATATTATGGCAGATTGACAACAGCTTTGCAGGGAATAAAATACTACAAATGATCCCCCTTCTGTTTTGCAAAGGTGATGAGCAAGATGAAAAAACGTACACTTTTTTTTGTTTTTTATATCCCAGACAGCACAGATTGGAAATATGACGCAAACCACCCAAAGTCATGGGGTAACACCTAAAGGAGACACACTCTTTACTCTAATCAGTGTAACTCTGTTCTTATTTGATTTGAAATGAGACAGACAATACAATTTAATAAAACACATGACATGATAATGTATGAGTTAAAAAAAGCAAGAATTAGCTAAAGGATATTTTCCATCTGTAGTCTTGCAGCCATGATGTTAGAAAAGCAATAAAATACAAGAATATAAGTACAGCACCAACATGAGATTAAACTAGACTGATCCTGACAAAAAAAAACATCTAAACAAAATACAGGTGCTAAGAAAACAGGGACAATACAATTAACCACAAATATAAAAAATACAGTTGTCGATCCAGGAGAAGAAGCTCTGTAAAGCAGTAGATTTCCAGCTGGTTACCTAACCACACAGATGGACTCATTAAGAAACAAAGATTGTTTTTGTACTTAAGTTTTTAGAATACATTTTCTTCTAGGGTGCTTTGACCCTGAAAAACATAGTAAGCAGGGGAGTAATCAGAAATCTGGAAAAACTATATCGGATAATATGACCCCTGTTGATGTTCTGCTCTTTAAAGAATAACATTTAAGGAGACAGTATTATTACTTTAGATTATAAGATTATAAGACATAAAAGAAAAAAGATTTTTAAGGAGCTGGAGTTTTAAATTCAGAGGAAAATAAAAAAAATGTTCGACATATGATGGCCATTTATACTTTTTGGTCTTAGTCTAAGTCTAAATATTTTAAGATAATGCTAATAACTAGAGATGCACCAATAAGAGCAAAGAATAGAACTTTTTTTGGTATTATAAGATTTTTTTCATATATATTAATTCAAGGTTCTACCACAAAAAATGTATACTTTTTGATATCTGAACCCACTAGTATAACGTTGAGCTCAAACTGCCTGACACTGCTTCATTTTCCTGCATGTGCTGCTCTCTGTGTTTGTGAGTGTGCTTTGAATAGCTGGGGAGTTAAGCCGCACAAAGGGGGGAATTGTCTTTTGTCTCAGTACCAACCAGCAATCCACAGACAAGGCAGCTGCATTCAAACATTCAAAGTTAAAGGGAAAAGACCTCCAATCCATCATCTGCACAAGCTCTAGCTGTCACAGCAAGGCACCGAAGCATTTGTTGCAACAAACAGGCTCTTTTTAGCTGTTTGTGACTCTAGAGGAAGGGGGGCAGACTTAAAACTGGGATAAGAAGTTTTGCAAATGTAACCACCATTCAGACATGAGTGCCCAAAGCCAATTGCTGAAAGTGATAGGTCATAGTTAGAGTAAGTCAGTGTTAACAAGATTTCCCTGAGATGTTGCAAAGTGAGCACAAAGACTGGCTTTGTGTGGATCCCTGCTGAAACAACAACAGATGAATATAAAGGCTTGCACTAATTAAAAAGCTATGCATCCTACTAAGCTAAGAAAAAACTATTTCATCTTAAATTATAGAACCACTTGTTGGCATAACAACATGAAAATAAACAGTTTATAACATGCTTTGATCACAAAGTAGTATTAAAAAAAAGCTTAAAATTACCATTTCATTATCAGGTATATTTTTTTTTCTAATCACATAATGGATGAATAAGCTTTCAATTTTTTGGTTGGTGAAAGAAATTAAATATTTTTATCCTAAATATATTTTTTAAGTCAGTAATATATAAAACATATTAAAAATCAGAGTCATAAATACATGTAGTAGGGTTTTTAAATTGAATAAACTACAGGCCCATAAAGCATTTAAACTGCTACAGCTGCAATTCCTGTGCAAAATGACAAAAAAAACTTGTCATTGTTAGAATATGAATTACTATCATTATGGATTCATAGTTTATTTAAAACTGTAAACATCCTGGATGTTGGATGTCATAATAACCAGTAATTTACTCATATTAGGTCATAGATGGAAATGAAATATAATCAATGGTACGTCACCCTGTTTGAAAAATGATAAGGTCTCCCAGTCACAACATAAGGCCAGACAGAGATGTTAATATAAATGCATCCTCACCGTTACACCACTGAAACGGGTGCATCAATGCACCAGAGGGAGTCCCTGCCGCCGGGTTCGTGTTTACCAACAAACCGCAGACGCTGGTGCGGATAGAAGCGCAGACGAGCCGGGGCTGACAGCAGAGCAGCTGGGTGAAAGGTGAAACAGACAATAGCACCTGATGAGCGGTCCTCCGAGGAGGGAAACATACGGAAAGCGTTTTTAATAAATGTCAAAACGGCCTGCCATACAACGATGGATCATCGCTGCAGAATCAGGAAAAGCAGAAACGGAGATTTACTTTATTTTTATTAGCTATTTTGTCATTTCGCCCTAGCTACTGTGAGTCTTCCTTTATTAAAGCCAGCATGGCAGTGACCCAGTGGCAGTGGCAGCGTCTGACTGAGCAGAGAAAGTCACAGTAATGGTTCTGTTTTTCTGCTCCCGCCCCGATGGACACCACCGATGAGCGGGGAGACCAATCAGCAGCCCGCATGTCTGTGCGTTACTGTTAGGGGGCTGCCTTTCAGGGGCGAACCACTGAAACCAGGGGGCCGAGGGCACAATAGGGCCACCAACAGAACAAAAATTTTGCCTAAAAATCATTTAGATGCTACGGAGTATTAGGACCAGCTAGAGATTTATTTATTTTTATTTCAAGAATAAAGTCGTAATATTACGAGATTAAAGTAGTAACATTACGAGAATAAAGTTGGAATATTTATTATGATAATTAAGTTGTAAAATAACAAAAATGAAGTCATCATAGCACAACACATTTCAGAAGCTTCGAGCTCCGATCAGCAGATTCTGCAGATTTTTCTCGTAATTTTATCATTTTATTCTCGTAATGTTGCAACCCTATTCTTGTAATTTTATGAATTCATTCTCGTAATCTTTTTTCTTGTAATGTTATAACTTTATTCTCATAATTTTAGAACTTTATTCTCATAATTTTATGCCTTTTTTCTACAAATTTTGCGACTTTATTCTCGTAATTTTATCATTTTATTCTCATAATGTTGAGACCCTATTCTTGTAATTTTATGACTTTATTCTCGTAATGTTACGACTTTATTCTTGTAGTTTTAAGACTTTATTGGCATTATTCTATGACTTTGTTGTCATTATATTACGTTATCCTCATAATTTTATGACTTTATTCTTGTACTTTTCCAACTTTATTCTTGTAAATTTATTACTTTATTCTCTTAATGTAATGACTTTATTCTCATCATTTTACAACTTTATTCTGATAATTTTACAACTTTATTCTCATAGTATTATGACTTTATTCTTGTAACTTTCGGACTAAATTCTTGTAATTTTATTACCTTATTCTCCTAATTTTATGACATTATTGTGATTATTTTATGACTTTTATAACTTTATTCTCGAGAATAAAAAAAAAATCTCTAACCTGGTCCTAATACAACATAATCTATATGCCCAATTTAGTTCTTTTTTTTGTTTGTTTGTTTGTTTTTGTTAAGCAAACGTTTGTTATCATTATTTTATAACTTTATTCTCGAGAAAAAAAAAATCTCTAACCTGGTCCTAATAGAACATCATGTTTATGTCCAATTTAGTCCTTTTTTTTTTTTTTTTTGTTAAGCAAACGTTTGTTATCCAGGAACAGAGGTAGATGGGGGACCCCTGGTCCACACATAGCCAATCATTGGCCACCCCATGGGGACATAGTTCACAAGCAGCTCCCATCTAAAATAGAGGTACGTATGGTTTGTTTGGTTTAACAATAAACAGACAACAAAAATACAATAGGTAATGTCTCCAATCCATATACTAACATTACAGATGATAAGTAGAATACAGAATGTTTACTCTTCTGTTGTGTTTTATGGAGAAGACGAGAAGGTTTTTATACAATTAGAAATAAAAAAAAAACAGCTTCAGCTATTTAATGCAGGTATAGGTATATGTAAATATCATCATTATGCGAAAAAAAAAATATATATATATATATATATATATATATATATATATATATATATATATATATATATATATATATATATATATATATATATATATATATATTAATAAAAGTATAGTGGACTATTTTTCCAGAAGAGTGAGTAAGAAATTAAAAAATATAAAAGTTAACCCTGGAACTCAAAGCCAAAAGAAGATTTTCAACTATATCTTTAATTTGGAGAGCATGGCTGTGTAGATATATGTGTTTATTCATTAGGAAGAGCTCTAGGAAAATCTAGCCTTTATTTGGAAAATATGAAAGTTCAGATCTATCATTTTCCTGTTGGAACAGTGTAGATTGACAGTGAACTGCTTCAGGTGCGTATCCTATTTGAGCCACCCCGTCGTCATCCTAAAGCAAATTTTATAATGAGGTGATTTTTGATTCTAAAATTATGAAATTGTTAGCTTTGGAAAAGCTAAACACCTCGAGTTGTTTCATCAAATATATAAGGGCAAACTACACAATGTTCTGAGATATCATTATTTTTCCCAGCATTTCATTGTCATTCCACTGTCACAAGTAAAGAGCAACGAAATGAATTCTCTGCATTTAACCATCCCCTTGGGGATAGGTGGGCTGCCATTGTGGGGCACCCGGGGAGCAGTGTGGGGTTAAGGGTCTTTGCTACCGTATATTCTACTCAGACAGTGAACAAACCAAATTTTATTTAATTCTGTCCGTAGCGGTCGTCAGTGAATTTCCAGCAGTTGAATTAACATTCATTATGCAACTGATATGTTGGCGACATCTTGAACTGAAAATAAAACCTTTATTAAGCGTTGATTTCTCAGTATTTGGATGCTGAACTTGTTTTATAAGCCGGCACAAAGCAGATTGCGCACGACAGAAGTCGTGTGCAGAAGCAAAATAAACCATACGGTTAATTTTCAAAATAATAAGTAATTTTCTTTGGTAACTTACCCTTTTTTCAAGAGTCACTATGATGGTCCTTCGAAAACCCTCAAAAAGCTCAATTTTTATTTACAACTGCTGTAATGTTGTAGACTCATATATTTATTTATTTTATATAATTGTTTAAATGTGCATATTTTATCTTTTTTATTTAATATTTATATTTCAGCTTATTTATAGCTATATTTACTATTACATACTTTAAGATTGGGCTGCTCCCAAACCTGCAAAACAAATAAAATTTTATTTCATTTAATGTTACCATGTTGAAATGACTAAATACACTCCTTGAAATATGATGCTGAAGTGAATATTGTTTTAATTTCTATCATTTCATTATTTTACTGTGTTGATATTCTTTACTAAAGAGAAAACAGAACAGGGAGCAAAAGGCCAAATCAAGCTCCTCTGCCAAGCAGCAAGAGGAGCAATGAAGAGAGATAGAGGCATAGCAAGTACTAGAAGAGGAAAATACTGTGCTGGAACTGTATGTGTTTTAAAAGTCAAATGTTTATTGCATGATACTTGAAGTACTGTGTAAGTTAATAATAGAAATATGTTCAAACCTTGTCATAGTAAGAAAGAACAGATTAGGCACTATTATCAACATTATAGTGTAATAGGGCTTGGGTGTCTATTTTAAATACTGAAGTAGATATGAAGCAACTTATTTCAATTATTCTGGAATGTCTTTTGTAATAGATTTATATTCACTATGATAGAAGCTTCAAAAGAAAGATGACATAAAAATCAAGTTTATAGTGCCTGAAGTGTCTGGCAGGGAAGGGGAACAGAGAAATGCAGCGCCTAACCTATTCAAAAGTCAGAATGATGTTGCTTAAGATTCTGAAAATTGACAGATTTAAAAACATGTTCTAGGGAGAACTCTGCTGAATCTACTTAGGAGTGACTGACTCTCAGTAATACCTCAGTATTTTTGGGCCCTGTCCGTCAGCCTTCAACAGTTATTCTGAAACTTCAGAAGAAATAAATCTGCTCGTAGGCAGTAAAGTTTGAAGTGTACACAGGCGTGAACTTGTAGATCAATGAGGAATCTTCTTCCTCAGGACTGTCAAAGTGATGTAAACTCCTCCGTCCTAAAAAAAAAAAAGCAGAGATCATTAAAGTCATTTATAAAGTTTACTTATGAGAGATTTTTGCATGAACTAACAATAATAAACCAATGTTTGTCCAAATTCCTCTGCATTATGTTTTTTCATCTGACATAATCCAACTCAGTCTAATGGACCAGTAAAGCTCAATAATGCTTCACCTTCATTGATAAAAAACTCGGCCAGCTGGGATGATAACTGAACCGCATGAGTGGAGTGAGGAAAGTTCAGTCTTCTGTCCCACTGAAAGCGGTTCACCTCTGGGTGCCACTGCACTCCGTAGAATGGATACCTTTTACCTGACAGGACAGGGAGAATAAAAAGGAGGTCATGATCACCACTCAAGTGCTCAAAAGCAAAAAGTTTGGTTTGTTATTTTCACACAAAAATATTTTAATAACCTTCAATGGTGGAGACAAAGTGTTCTCCATTTAGAGCGATGTTTGTGGAAAGCACGGAGAAGAAACTGCTCAGTTGCTCATTTTCCTGGAAAGCCTGGAGGAAGAGCATCATTCATTCAGCAGGATTGGATATTTAAGGTCTTCTCTCAGGTTCTTGTCAAAGTAGTCATCCTCATTTTCATCATTACATCTACCATCAGTATACTTTAGTGGTATTTTATGTGATGAAACAACACAAAGTAGTGTGTGAGGTTGAAGGAAAATAATAAATCTGAAACATGGGGCAAACTTTTCAGTCAATACTTGTAGAAACATCTTTTAATGAATTTAGTTTATTTATATAGCGCCAGTTCACAACACGTCATCTCAAGGCACTTTACAGTTCAACCAGATCATTCAGTCAAATTGATACAAAGTTTTCTATCTAAGGAAAACCAGTTAATTGCATCGAGTCATTGACTCCAATGCAATCTCTCACACTGAGCATGCTTGTAGCGACAGTGGAGAGGAAGAACTCCCTTTTAACAGGAAGAAACCTCCAGCAGAATAAGGCTCAGTGTTAGTGGCCATCTGGGGTTCAAGGAGACAAAAGCAGAGATACAAAAAGTAGTTAGAGCTTGAAGTTTTTATGAGTGTGTCTCCACATGCTTTGTACATCTAACAAGTATTTCTATTAACTCTGGCTGTATGTTTAGGATAATAGTTTCAGCTATAGTCTTGGTATAAGTATGTTTGTTCCAGGATCTAAATGTCTTTATTTTAATATTTTTATGTGTCTTGTTTTGCCAATATAGCTCTGGGAAAAGATGTCCCAGAGTTGGATGATAGCCCAACAGCTTCGCTTTCACAAGCAGACCATTATGACTCTTGCCATAAGGTTCCACTTAATACTTATATATGAAAGTTTATTGAAAATTGTTCAGGGAGTAAAATCACATACAACGAACAGAGACTGAAAGGGAGAGGAGAAAGAAAGAGGGGATAACTAAGGGGAGAGAGAAAGAGAGGCAGGAAAAA